CCCTCCTGGGAAGTGCTTAAAATTAACAGAACTTTTTAGGGGAGATATCCAAGTCACAGAGATGGCATTTGAAGTGCCAGCTTTTGAAAAAAAAAATTTTTTTCAATTAGAGTCATGGAATCATTACTTTTGGAAAAGGCCTTCAATCAAGTCCAATCTTTGAGTGCGTATCACTATGTCCAGTACACCACATTCTAAATGTCACTTCTCCTTGTGTTTTCTATATTTTCATGGATGATGGCTCCACCATTTCCCTGGATTGCCCATTCCAAATCTTAACTACTCTTGCAGTAATGACATTTTCCTTAATCACCAACCTTAACCACTCCATACAAAAGCTGATGGCATTTCCCCTTGCTCCATCACTGGTTGACTGCAGAACAGAGTGATACACCTGGCCACATCCTTCCCTCTTGGAGTTGTGGGGAGAGATAAGGTCTCACCTTTGCCTCCTTTTCCCCAGGATAAACACCCCCAGCTCCCTCAGCTCTTCCTCATCAGACCTGTGCTCCAGCCCCTTCACCAGCCTGGCTGCCCTTCCCTGGACTCACTCCAGCCCCTCCATGTCATTATTGCAGTGAGGGGCCCAGAACTGGACACAGCACTCAAGGTGTGGCCTCACCAGTGCTGAGTACAGGGGGACAATCCCTGCCCTGTTCCTGCCGGCCACACCACTGCTGATCCAGGCCAGGTGCCATGGGCCTTCCTGGCCACCTGGGAACACTGATGGCTGGTGTTCAGCCCTCTGAAGGTGTGGATGCCCCATCCCTCCAAGGGTTCTTTAGGGTCCCTTGCAGCCCAAACCATTCTCAGATTCTGTGACATATGTATTCATGTATATATTTATGCACAGTAATGGATGGGCATGGTACTATCATAGATAATAATCAAAACCATCAATATTGTTGTCTCAAAACCAGACAGATCACAGTGGAGAACCCAGAAACTGGGGGTAAATAGGAACTGACTAATATGGTATAAAACCAGATTCAAAGTCAGAACTTTAAAGCAGAAGCATGGCAAAAGACCACCATAGATCTTTGCAGATATTTATTTTGTGCAAAATACTGAATATTGTAAATGGTGCTTTTTACTGCCATTTTTGTAATTAAAAACTTGAATATGTTTAGAGATGGTGTTCCACACTTTTCAAGCTGTAATCTTGTGCTAAATATGACTCCAAGCATTTCCCTAGTTCAGGCTGAAGTAAATGCTTCAGATAATACTTCTTTTTAATATTTTTTTTGCATCAACTGTTTCTATTTCTGTCTACAGAACAAGAAAGCAGAGACTGTGCTGCCCCAGCTTATTTTTCTTTTGAAATCTTTGATCCAGAGATCTTGGTTCTCCTCACTTCCTGATCCTCCTTTCTTTTCTTCACTACATAGGCACAAATTATGTCCTACCTCAAGTTATTCTCCCTCATGCCAGACTTTGTTGTCAACCACGAGAGCTCTTTACAGTGCACTGAAAGATCTCATGGTCACAGGATCCAAATTGATATTGACACAGAGGTCTTATAGCAAATAATTTCTTCGTGATCACACAAGTGACGACACCTTTGGTGTGCTCTTGAAAACTCTGCCTTTGTGATTCCTGGGAACTGAGACTGTGGAACAACCAGGATGGGCATTTTCAGTGGTGCTTCTCCAGAAAACTGCTGGACTTGGTGTACAATCTACAGGGAGCACTGAAGGAAAACAGTTTGTTGGAGTGTGGAGAGTGTCATAACTTGCTCACATGCTTTGAGTGCTCCTGAGATTCTGCACAGTTTCAGAACACAGCATCCCATAAGCTCTGCACCAAGGAGTCCTGTGGTAGGGGTGCTCTTCTTAATTCACCAGCTCTACAGGTGTCTCCTCCTGTCCCACTAAGACCTGTCTTGCTCTTTGTGTCTGCAAGCTTCCAGCACATGGAAATTTAAAGTGTGGTAAGACAAGCTTGTAAAGGTATGTGAAATACGACAGCATCTGCTCTATGCAGTTTATCTGGCATAGACCTTTCTGATTCAAAAGTAGTCATAATGAGGGTAATGGAATTTGGAAGTGACCTTTGGTAGCCATTGGATCCCATCAGCTGCTTAAGACAGGGACAGCTGTGAGGTGAATTATGGTTACTGGTGGCTTTATTCAATCAGGTCTTGAAAACCTCAGAGTATGCAGACTATCCAAGTTCTCTGGGTGGTGTGATTTAAAATTTTCTAACATCATCATGAAAATGTTTCTCAGCCATGCAAGAGACAAGGCTAAGGATTCTCAGAGGGGCTGAGCAAAAGGACATCAGGAAAGTGTCTTATCTGGAAACAGGGAAGCTCTGACTGGAAATAAGGAAAATAACCATAGCTCTAATAATTTTTCAGCACTGCAAGAAAGGTCAGCGATCCTGGGGAATCTCCAGCATTGCAATTGTTCAGGAATCACATTAAGATGGTGAGGAGTAATCTGGTCACATTTGGAAGTAGCTGTGCTGTGAACAAGGCCTTGGATTTCCTTTCCACAATCTATCTTTCTGTCAGTAATTCTAAGGAAGATTTAAAAACCTTTGTCACTTTCTGCCTAATTGCATCCATTGTTCAATTTTGTTGCAAAACTGTCATCAGCAAGTCAGGTGTACAACAAATATGAGTTTACTTTTTGGACATTTATGATATCTATTTCCCCAATATCAGACTTTCCTCCGCATTCCTTCACAGGCTCTCACCTGCTCTCTTGTCAAATGTAATCCCCTCCATTGAAGGCTCAAAGTCCTTCTCCACCTTTACTTCATCCTCTTATCACTGAAAAACATTCAAGAATCCTTTGCTATATTTTTGGATGTGACACTTCCTCATTTGTTTGGATACTGCCTTTGATTAAATACAGCCCAAAACAAATCTCGGCAAGAGAAAATGCAAATTTCCTTTAACATTCCCCTGCATATGCCTTCCTGAACCATTTCTTGGCTGTTTTGTATAATTGCACTCCTCTCTGGTGCATGGGTAGCTGTCCCCACGACAGGCCAAGGAGAGTGTATGAACTCCTTGAAGCTGGAAGGAACCTTGATGGGTCTCTACTTCAAGCTGTGCTCAAAGCAGGATGGAGAATGCGGAGATGTTCTCCAATTCTGGTTATGAAGCCAGGAGAGGGAAGTTGAAGTGATATTTGCAGTGTGGATTACTGAACATGGTGGTATTTGGGCAAAGGTTGGACTTGATGATCTTGGAGGCTTTTTCCAAAATTAATGATTCCATGACTCTAAAAAAGGGAATTTTATTTTTTGAAAAGCTGGCATTTCAAATGCCATCTGTGTGACTTAGATATCTTGATTGGACATCTCCCCTAAAAAGTCCTTGTTAATTTTAAGCACCTCTCAGGAGGGCAAGACTATAAACTGCCTTAAGCAGAAACTTCCACAGCCCCTGTGTCAAAATGTACTTTGGTGTGTCTGAATTACTGTGGCTGATCTGGCTTTTGGAGAGTTCTGGTCACTTTTCATGCTGTCACCTGGGGTGTTGCACAAGGCTTCTGAGCCAGCTATAAAAGCAGGCAGGTGAGACATCCTTCCCAAATCACAGCCCTGCACTGGAGGAATTGCCCTCAGCTCCCCCCAGCCCTGCAGCTGACAGCAAGGTAAGAGGCACCCTGTGCCCAGGAGGGCTGGAAGGGTTTCTTGGGCAGCTGCTGTGAAATGCAGGGCAAGGGAAGGAGGCTTTAGTGTTGGGCTGAGAGCCGTGAGGGTCTGCTGTGTGTGTGTGCAGAGCCCGAACCCATCTCAGGGCATGAGGAGATGGATGGCTGCTGCAGGAAAACAAACCTCACCAAGGGAGAGGGTGGAGGGGCAATATGGTTTAATGGGCATGGTGGCATCTGGTTCAAGGCTGGATTTCATGATCTTGGTGGCCTTTTCCAACAGCAATGATACTGTGATTGTAAGGGAAAGAGGCAAAAGAAAAAGAAAAATATTACATGAATGTCTCCACTGTCACTTGGAAATCTTCCGTCAAAACTCTTAGTAAGACTAAGGTTGTGTATTCAACATTATTCCCAGAAAGGCAAAAATGTAAACTCCAACAGGCAGAAACATTCTGTAGTCTGTGTGTCAAAGAATGCTTTGATACATTTTTATTACTGTCATTCCATTTTTTTCTGGAGGAGAAGGACAAACAGGAATTGAACTTCGCAGGTTTCATGAAGTCACTTGCACTTCATGGGACTTTTGAATGAGAGAAAGAAGATGTCTGACCATAGGAAGATCTAATCTAGGACAGGATAGTTAATGATTTTTGATGCCTGGGGGCATGGTACCACTTCCCAGTTCTGTGGAATTGGGTGTTTCACAAGACTTCTGAGCCAGCTATAAATGGAGGTTGGTAAGATGCCATTCCCAAACCGCAGCCCTGCACTGGAGGAATTGACCTCAGCTCTCCCCAGCCCTGCAGCTGACAGCAAGGTAAGGGGCACCCTGTGCACAGGAGGGCTGGAAGGGTTTCTTGGGCAGCTGCTGTGAAATGCAGGGCAAGGGAAGGAGGCTTTAGTGTTGGGCTGAGAGCCGTGAGGGTCTGCTGTGTGTGTGTGCAGAGCCCGAACCCATCTCAGGGCATGAGGAGATGGATGGCTGCTGCAGGAAAACAAACCTCACCAAGGGAGAGGGTGGAGGGGGCCAGTGATACACAGTTGTGGGAGATAATGTGTCAGTCTTTTACAACTTACTCTGGGGGATATCTGTAAACCAACACATAGAACTAAATAAAACTGGGTAGTAATACCTCATTTTACATTCTCTTCCAAATGAACATTTCTATGTCATGCCCTCACTCTTTTCCAGCTGCTGCTATGTTTATTCTTTGTTCAAAATGTGTTGCTTTCCCTTCTTTCTTTTTTTTCCTCCCCCACCTTTTCCATCATTTTCCGTCTGGTATGTAAAGGCTTCTTACAAGCATTACCTATTTTCTCTCTTTATATTGTGCAGGCTGTCATCCAGCTCCTATAGCAAGGAATCCAAACACCAGAAGTCCTACTGAGATGGGCAAAATCATCATTTATGAGCATGTCAACTTCCAGGGTTTGTCCAAAGAATTCACCACTGACACTCCCAACCTAATAGCTGTGGGTTGGAATGATATTGTCTCCTCGGTGAAAGTAATTGGCCAGCCTTGGGTGGCTTATGAGCACGTTGAGTACAAGGGTCAGTTTCTGGTGTTTGAGGAGGGAGAATATGACTCTGTTGGTAAAGAGATGAATGACAGGATCAGCTCTCTGCAGGTGATCACGGAAGACCTGCACAATCCCCAGATCACTCTCTATGAACACGTTGAATATAAAGGGAGGAGCAGAACAGTAAGAGAAGCAACCGACCTGGCTGGGGGAGAAGACGATGACATTGTGTCTTCTCACAAAGTCCAGAGAGGTGTCTGGCTGCTGTGTGAAAACAGCGATGGAAGTGGGCCTCGGCACCTTGCCCGAGATCATGAGGACGTTCCCAATTACAAGGAAATCGACTTCAATGACAAGCTTTCCTTCCTGCGTCCCCTTCGCCCTGGCCGTGACTCTTAGACTGCCGAGCATGTGACCCTGAGGGAAGGTGCAGTCCCAGCAGGAAATCTCTGATCTCTGCTTGTGTGTCCCTTCCTTTGTGATTTGCTTTACAAAGCTCTTGTGGTACCTTGGCCCGTTCCATTGTCTGTAACCTCTTTTGGGTTGTTGCCAATAAAGACTCTCTTGCAAGCAACAGTGGGTCTGTTTGAGGGACTGTTCAGTGTAGATAAATATTCCCCTTTCCTGCAGAGATGTCTGTGTGTGCTCCAAAAATGTGTTGTGCAGTCACTTTGAGATGTTTTTCATGGATCTCTCCTGAAAGGAATAATCTCCTTCTAGGTTCACTGTTGAGTAACAGTGGGTTCAGGCATGACTCAACCAGTGCCCAAGTTTTGGTGAGCATATTGATAATTGCAGTGATCCTGACCAAACTATCCCATGCAGACTGTTCCAAAATATCAGATGTTTGATTGTACCTCATGCAATCAGTCATAGTGATGGATCATGCTGGTGATACAGTCCTCTACTCACCGAACCACATGATCCAACAGTAAGTTCTCCTAACTTTGAACTGACATCTTGGTTGATCCCAGTGGAAACAACTGTCTTGTGCTTTTAAACCTTTAGTACCTTGATAAGGGAGGAGGGATGACAAGGAATTCTGTGATCTGTTTTGCCATGTGCAAGTTCACCTGGACAAGCAGAGTCTCAGCCCTCCTCCACCACACAGGAAGGATATAGATGGGGTGGTTTCAGAAACTTTGCATTTTCTATTGCATAGGATTCTTTTGGATTTTGGGTTGGTTTTTTTGGGGGGGGGTTTTGGGGGGGGATGGGGTTTGGTGGTTTTTTTTTTTGTTTGTTGGTTTGGTTTTTTGTTTGGTTTTTTTTATTATTATTAAAGACAGAATCTAAAAAAATTGCAGAGGTGTCCCTTCCTAAACTCTAGGAAAGGATTCTTATAGGTTTTTCAGTAATCAGAAGATGAAGTAAAGGTGGGGAAGGTCTTTGAGCCTTCAATGGAGGGGATTACATTTGACAAGAGAGCAGGTGAGAGCCTGTGGAGGAATGGGGAGGGAAGTCTGACACTGGGTGTCATGGATTGACCCTGGCACAGTGCCAGCACCCCCATGAAAGGTATATTTCAAAAATGGTTACTGTGAGATGTGACCCGAAACAGTACAAAGCAGGCTCCAACTTGGGAATGGAGGGGAAAAAAAGACCACTTTATTGATCTACAACATAAAGACAAAAGGAGAAAAAATGGGGAAAAAGGGGGGAAAAAGGGGGGGAAAGGGGGGAAAATGGAAAAAATGGGGAAAAGGAGAAAAAAAGAAGAAAAAGGGGAAAAACGGGAAAAAAAGGAGGAAAAATGGGAAAAAAGGGCAAAAAATGGGGAAAAAACAGGAAAAAAGGGGGGGAAATGATGGAAATGGACATCTGCTGGCATTTCTTCACCTACTCAAGCCTTCTTCTTCTTGCCCATCCTGCGTCCCCTCTCAGTTCTCAGCTGGGGAGGATCAGTGTTTTTTACAGCTTCCATTGTTTCAACACCACAGGGGTTAAAACCTCAGCCGCGGTCTGCCGGCGGCTGGGCACCTTGCCCTGCCCTCCCCCCCCTTCTCCTCCTCACCATGGTGCCAGCACGAGATATCAAATTTCCAGCCTGCACAGTCTCTATCATTCTCTCCCAGGGGGGCTGCCCAACCCATCCCAGATCTCCTCCACCCCTGCACCTTGCAGGGGCTCCGGCCTCCCTTCCCTCAGGCCACATGGCCTCCCTCTCGCCCACCCAGACGCAGCCGGGCAGGGGAGAGGTCAGATCAACTCACCAGCCGGACTCAAAAGAGAAAGTCCCTCTGGAAATCTTCTGCTTTTAACCCCTGTGTGTTCTCAGAGGCGTATCCAGGTCCTCAGTAGACACACCATGTGCCAATTTTCAAATCTGGCCACTGATTGGTTTGACTGTAACTTTCCCAGAAACTCACTTCTTGGTCAAACCACAACACTGGGGAAATTGAATTTATAAATATCCATCAAGTAATCCCCAAGGTATTTCACACGACTTTCTGATGACAGTTTTGCAACTAAATTGAACAAAGAATGAAATCAGGCACAAAGTGACAAAAGTTTTTAAATCTTCCTTAGAATTACTGACAGAAAGATTTATTCTGGAAGGGACTTCCTTAGTCCAAAGTTTATCCACAGCAGCATAATCAGCATACTCGTGGCCATCTTCAAGTGATTTCTGAACAGCATCAAGGGTGGAGATTCCCCAGGGTCTCTGGCCTTTCTGCCAGTGCTGAACAATCCTTGGCATGAGTTTTTTATTTCTTATGTTATGTCAGAATTTCCCTGCTGCCATCTAAGACTCTTTCCAGCTGTCCTTTGCTGAGCCCCTCTGATAACTGTGAGCCTTGTCTTCTCCAGGCTTAACAGGACCAGGCCCCTCAGACTCTCCGGGTTCATGGGATGCTCCTGTGCCATCCAATGGCCTGTATGGGGCACCACCATTTTGTTCACATTGACCTTTTCATAAGGCATCTGAAACAGATCCAGTATTCCAGATGTGCCTTCTGTTCAGAGGAGATGGAAATAAACTCTTCCCTTATCCTGCTCCTCCAGTTCCCATGCTGTGCAGGATGTAACTGCACTTCAACTTAATATCCTCCAATGGAAAGGAGAGCGAGAGAAGCCATTCTGACATGACTGAAATTAATTTCTCAGTGGTTGCATATACTCAAAACTGTCATGCTTGAGGTAGGGTCAAACCTGTACAGAAGTATGGACCAGAACAGCTCCTCTTCAAAATGAGTCTAAAAACAGAGTTAGGTGGATTGAAAACAAGAAAACAGGAAAATCCTTTGCTCACAGACTACATGAAAGTTGGAGTTAGGTGACCAGGATGATTTTCTTTTCCTCTGAGCGTGCTGCAAAGAGTTTAGATGTGTGAGTCAAGTGAGTCAGCTCTGTGAGTGTGAGAGGGCAAGTGGCTGAAATCATTAGGAAAGCAACGATGGCCGAGCAACCTCAGTGTTGACAGAAGCATGTGAGATAACATCAACAAAACACCAGGTCACTCCTGCAAATGCACCATGTAGAAGAATCAATTTGCAATGTTCTTGTGCTTTTCTTGGCTTGGCAGCAAACTGCTCTCCCAGCTGGCAAACCTACAGTGAAAGTTTGCTTAGACATTCAATCACTGTTGAGACAGGACAAAGAAAGTCAAGAAATAGGGCAGACCTGTTGGATCTCAAGTGCTTCAAACAATTAATTATTCTATGCAGTTCAATTAGTAATAAAGCTGCTGCATGCAAAGAGGAATATAGTAAGTTTTCTATTTGGGGAAAGCAGGGAAATTTGCTGTGAGAGGCTACAGCGACTCTTTTCTCTGATATTTTCGCAGTACTCTGAGTTTCTTTCACAGAAAGATATTCTTTCCCTGATAGAAAATATTCAGGAATTCTAAAAGAAGCTGTGGACCAGGAATAAATTGTGAATAACACTTGTGATGTGTCCTAGATGTGATTCTTACTCTAAATGAGCCAGAAATCCAGAAGACATTGCAAGAAGGATGTAAGTGTGTTGTGGGAGGAAGGTGCTTGTGTGTTTTTCCAGAGAAGTTCTGAAGAAAGAGGGAGGGAACGTGAGTGGTATTTCCAGAACAGATTGGCCAATAAATCTGCTGTGAGCACGCATATCTGTAATGTGAGACAATCAGCTGAGACCCTACTGTGGCTGGGTGAGGTTCAAATACACGAGTGTGAAGAAGACTTTCAGCTTGTCTCATTGCAGGGCTGGCAATGTGCATTTAGCATCAGATATGTGCTTCCAGAGGGGAAGGTTTTCCTGGAGAGAGTGGTATGCAATCAGTTCCTACCCTAAACTCCACTTCTCATAAACCGTGGGAACACTTAATATCATCAATCTAATGACATCATTCAGAGCAACTGGCACACTCTACATTTGCTTCTGACCTATTGCATGTCAACTTTTCCGGCAGCCAGCTGCCTTTGCTGTTTCTCCACAATCTAGAATCTCTAAATTGAAAATCTAAAAAAAAAGGGAAAAAAGTCTGAGGATTGTGTTTTGGCTTTTCTAGTTTTAACTGCAGATGGTGCTCCCTCTCCAAGGAAAAATTACTGCAAAGAACAATCCAGAAAGCTTTCACCCAGGCCAGCAGTGTTCCACAAATTGCCTTGCCTTGTGTGCAACCCTGTATCCTCAGTTCACTTAACTGAAGAAGTCTCCAAATGTAGAAAACTTCCTGAGTGTCCAGCTGTTCATTAACCAAGCCCCCGTGGCTGCAGTGCGCTGTCAGATGCAAGTCCTTTACACAGTGCTGGGCTTCACACTCAAAATTCCATCAAGGCCTTTGCTTTCCAAAGCTGTGGTCTGCACTCAGGTTTGTTAGCAGACCACTTCCAAAGGCAGACTTGCGTATTCCAAAGCTGGGATCCTTATGTCAATTCAGCCCAGAGTGCTTTACAATATTTTTGGATCAGGAAATGGCAACAATGATCAAATGCATCTGACACCAGACTCCTGCTCCTCCTGAGAGCCCCGAGCTCAGATGTTCACACAAGAGAGCACCTGTAGGTATTGGTCCTGCAAGACTGTATAGGGGCTGTATGGCCCCTCCATCTCATCCTTAACAATGAGCCCTGTATCTCATCAGCCTGGTGAAAATACCTGTAGAAACAACTTCTGTGAACAACTTCTGTGAAACAACCCCTTAATAGCAAATGAATATTCTCTAAGCTATTTCTCTCAGTCACTTTGTGTGCTATATAAAACCACAGGTGTGTAGTCTGATCATACATAAACCACAAAATTTAACTGAATAATCTTATTTTTGATATTAAGAAATTAGGACACACCAAGGATTTGTCACACATGGAGTGCAGCATGAAGATTTGCAAAAAGGTATTTCTTTAGGTAGCATGTAGGTGCCACAAAAACCACACAAGGTCTAATTTAAATAGGGTTTCTGTTTCTGTATGGTTAGACTGCTACTGAGACAAATGTGAGCTCATCTGGAATCTG